GTACTCTCTCTCTCTCTCTCTCTCTCTCTCTCTCTCTCTCTCTCTCTTGGGCCTCCTTACTTCTATGTAGAAGGTTAGGAGTGTTTCTATGTTAGGTTTTAGTGTTTTTGAACTCTCTCTCATGTGCCTGTTTTTCTTACCCTTGTATCAACCCCATCTCTCTAGGAACTTCAAAGGCATTAAAAAGGTATATGTATGGTAATAGCAGCTTGTATTATAATTTACTATTGTTAGTGCTTGGACTCAAAACATTACAATATGGGTACCTTATACTTTAGAGGAATGATCTAATACAACAGTTGTATCATAGTATAATGCTACAACACTTCTAAAAAATCATGTTTGTGGTATTTGTATGACTCAAAATTTTGCACACATACTTTTTTTATCTCAATAATCAATCCCCCCCAAAAACAAATTCAATTTGAACCCTAGATATGGTCAAAATGAGTCCTCTCCAAAAACGAATCTAGACCATTCATTTGGTGAATTTCAAAATCTTGGCCTTTATAAACTCAAAATCATTTTTTCCTTTTTTAACAGTGTTCATCTAATGATAATAAAACCATTCAAAAAAATTGGAAATGAAAAAATCCTTCTAAGACCTAGATCTAAGCATCTCATCAAAATGAACGGCCTTTGTTAATTGGGCTAAAAAAATACTTTCTAGATTGTGTTTTCATTTTTTTTTTTTTGTGATTGTTCATTAGAATGCAAGAGTGTATATTTCAAAATTGGGATCAAACAAATAGCCATAACATGGTTTTTGAAAGTTGTTACATCATATTACTATGCAACCGTTGCATGAAATCATTGCCCTATACTTTATAAGTAAGGCACACCTCTAAAATTTACTGGAACTTTAGAAGATACAGTTTTTTTGTCAAAAATCTTATGATGGCTTGAAAAATCATGGTGAACCCTAATTATGAAATGAAAAAGTATGCAAATAGATCATTTAGCACGAGGAGGTCATAATTACTTTTGTCCTTTGGATTTCAAATTGAGTGATCGTGAGCATGTTATTGACTAGACTCAAAGTTCCAAAAAGAAATTTCTCAAACTTCGTGACACACATTAAGTTATTTAATTTGACATCTGATGGCTAATAAATTGTGATCTCCATGCAAGAAAGTTAAATGGTCTTTTTTCAAATTCTTAAAACAATACAGATCAAGCATATCTATAAATACTTAAAAATCTTGAAAATAGATAGTATAACTTGTTAAAATTTGTTATTTTTAGGCTTTTGAAATTCTTTTTCTCTTTATATCTCTACGTTGAGATGATCAATTGGAAAGTTTTCTTCAACTTTAGAAAACTGAATTTTTATGGCACATCTTACTTTTGTAGTCTTAGTTTGCGACCTTATATAAACTATAATGAGTTCCATTAAGGACAAAGTTTATATAAGGGAGATGCCCCTAAACAAGCAAATTAAAGCGCACCTCAAAAATTCACTAAAAGAGGTTGTTTCGATGCCCAAAAATCCTCAAATTGATCATCTCCACCTCAAGATATATGAACATGAGAAACAATGGATTTCAAGTCTTAAAAATAGTGCATCTCATAATGCATTTCTAAACCGTCAAATTTTAAAATTTTTAAGTGTTCATAGATATGCTCGATCAACATTGTTTTTGAAGCTTCAATTTTATAGTCAAAAATAAAAATTAAATTTTCAAAGCCATTACAAAAATTTCCAATAGTAAAACAGCATCTTTCGACACTATTTAAAGATGCACTGTTCAGGGCCTCAGCCTAATACAAACCATACCCTTCTTTTAATTACGAAGCCTATGTTTAGATTGGGGACTTCGCATTTCTATGTTATATTTAGAGTCTCGCTCTTTGACTCCCTTATAAACCCATCTCTACAGATTGGAACATATTGGAACTTGGAGGTAGTGTAGGAAAAGTCGTGCGGGTCTAATTCTAGGGTGCGGTTCGTATAGAGCCTAGGCTCTAAACAATCAAATTAGAGCCTACCTTCAGATAGTGTTGAAAAATGTGATTTCATCAATATTAGAAATCTTTTTGATAGCCTTGAAATATGTTTTTATCTTTATTTAGAAAGCTTAAAACTTAAAAAATAATGTAGATGCAGAGATCTATAAACACTTGAAAATTTTGAAAATTGACCGTCTAAAAATACCTTACAAAATACATTATTTCCAAATTTGAAATCCATTTTTTTCTCATGTCGATACATCTTGATGTCGAGATGATCAATTTGAAGATATTCGGGCATCAAAACAAGCTCTTCTAGTGAAATTTTTTAGTAGGCTCCAATTTGACTGATTAGAGCCTCGGCTCTATACGTATTAGATCGAAACTGGGCACTCGTTGGTTTGGGTATTTAAAAATAAATAAAAATAAAAAATTATATAAAATCCCAAAAAATAAGGGATTTTGTTCGTAATGTATTTTAAAAATTTTTTTCATCATTTTGACAAAGATTGGAAATTGTTTTAGCCATTAATACTTATGTTTACAATTTTCTGTTTTTTTTTAATTTTCAAAAATACCTCTGGCTACAAATCGATTCTTTAAAATTTATTTTTCATTAATTTTGAACTTCATTTGGATATGCTATATTTAATCATGCTTTAAATATATTTTTTATATTCTATTGGATTTTTTGTATTTTTAAATTTTTTTTAACATTGTTTTTACCCCCGAAAAACTTACCCAATTAGACCTCGTTAACCAGTGGGTTTACCAGTTAGGGCAGTTGAACCGCTTCCGATGCCGTCCAACTTTTCCTAAACGGATTGTAAGGCAGAAAAATATGAATACCTCTCCAATGTGTACTTTCTAAGAATTGCCCCTCAACGCTTTCAATATAACATTATTAACCCAATATCTTTCTTTTTTTCTTTTTTTTCTTTTGGCCACCCTCTAAATACAAAAGCCGACTTTTATAAACCAAAATATCCAATTTCTCACTCTCTCTCTCTATGGGCACAATTTTTTTGTGCCAAACCGGCACATCTTTTGTGCTAGACCGGCTCTATGCTCAACTTTGTGCCGGTTTTATTAGACCGACACAAGCGTGTCCGACAATTATTGTGTCCTGCCGACATATGTCGAGCATTATGTTTTAGAAACATGGGTAAAAAATGCGGGTATTTTAGCCCCCAAAAGATAACTTTTTAACTTGGATGTGGTCGCAAAAAAAATGATATCAAGATTAATAATGTTGAAAAAAATACATAAAACATACAAATTAAGGGTATATATAATTTTACTTAAAATGTAAATGTATTCATGGTGATGGTATCTTTTATTATAGTTTATGGGTTATACTTTTTGTCTTATTTTAGGTGATGCGATAAAGGAAAACGTGGCAATCGTGGGTGTGGGGTCAACACGTGCAACAACTGCCAAAAATTTAAATGTGACGTGGTGACTCCCTATGGTCTAGCGATTATTGTCTGCCCAATTGCAGGAAAACTATTTCTTTATTTATTTATTTGCATTTTGAATTAGTGCTCTCTTGAAAATAAATGGTATTTCTCTTGAATTACCATTTGCACCTTTATTTTTGTTGTGAAATTAAAACTATTTGCTATTTTCCTAAGAAGGTCAATTTTCTTAGCTATAAATTTTTAAATCAAGCAGCTAGATGTGACAAAATTGATAAATCAAGCGACTAGAAGTGTATCCTAAAGTTCAAAAAATTCGACATCAAGCATGCCAATAGCATACCCCAATTCAATATTCAATAAACTAGGTTCCGACGTAGGAATCAACAAGGCTTCAAATTTGGATTGTACAAACTTTGTCAAGTCTATTAGGATCTCAATTGAGTTTTAAAACATATTTTTAATGAATTAAGGTGATTGTAACCCAACTTTTTATAATAATTTTCTTTTGTTATTTCTACATGGATAGAAATATCAAGCACGTCACTTCGAATATCCACCTTTGTATATGTCACTTCTAATAACCCCTTTTGTATATAGGTCATAAATTTATAAAGAACCAATATGGAGTTTCTTTCCAAATAAGTTTGCGAAAAGTTTATATAAGGTTGCAATATTAAAATGTAGAATCACAGATGCACTTCAAAAATCTACCAATGTTGAACAAGCCCTCTAATCAATCATCTCGACATCGAGATATATGAATATGAAAAAAAAAAAAATTGAAAAACGGAAATAGTGCATCTTGGAACATATTATCTAGATTGTCTATTTTTAAGATTTTCATATATTTATAGATCTACTTGATTTTAATCATTTTTAGAATTAAAACTTTTTTAAGTAGGTATGAAAATAGATTTTAAGATAATACTAAAAAAATTTACAAAAAAAATTACATATTATGATAAAATTTTAAGATGCATCTTAATTGGATTATTTAAAGTTGCAATCTTATAGAAACCGTACCCAATAAGTTTTCGGCCTTTTCAAAAACGGCATAACCTAATCTAAGAGGTCTCTAGGGGGCGGT